CCCCAAAACCCCAAAACCCCAAAACCCCAAAACCCCAAAACCCCAGGTTTTGAGGATATACTTGAAAAGATAGGTTTTGGAAATGTAGGGAAGCACGTAGATGGATTCATAGAATATTTTAAGGAATCATTGATCGATTACTCTTTTGATACCATTTGAATCAGTTTTCTTTTAAGTGAGTTGAAAATGGCAAACGTGAGACCTACGTCTAGAGTGACTCTTGCCAATCTTGGTCCTACTCCTTTATAAAATCCCATCGGTCCTTCTTTCTTCATGATTTGTCCGAAACAATCCATGAATCCATTATACTTATGAGCGTCGAGTCCTTGAACATTAGTTTTAATAACATCGATCGGATTATTAACAATGACACTTGCAGTTCCTGCAATAGCTCCTGCAGTTAGATCTGCAACTACTTTTACTGGGATAACTTGATTCATCATCTTTTGTGCATCCTCAAATACTACAAATCTTACTCCTTGGTTGGTAGATTGTTTTAAAACTGTGGCGAGAGGCCCAGCATAAACTCCCCAAAATCCTTGAGTTTTTGCTATGGAATAGATACCGTGAAAAACATTCCTATACTTAGGCTTTTCACTAAGCATGTCATGTATCAGCTTAGTCTTCAATGTTTCTTGTGGAGTAACTACCAATAGTGCTTCAGAAGCTCCTGCAAAGAGACCACAAGCAAAAGTGTGTAACTTCTTTGTGGTATCAGGGAAGAAGTGATCTCTAGCATATGAGAATCCTCCAAATCTGACATAATTTTTTGGAACAGAGAACAATAAAAGAGATGAATATCCTTTGTACAATCTGAAATATCCTCCTTTAGCCATGTTCTCCTTGACTACAGCAATCGCTCCCTTCTTGTTCATTTCTGGGTACAACTGCATGACAGTCTTAGTATACTCAGTGGGATACGTAATAGAGATCTCAATAGCTCCAGTGATTCCTCCAATAACTGCATTCAGAAAAGGTGATACCTTAGGCTTAGAGTCTTTTGACATTTATGGCACCTAAATTTATTTATAAAACTGCTTTGTGCCATCCAATCTGTTAATTTATCATAGGGGTTTTGGGGTTTTGGGGTTTTGGGGTTTTGGGGTTTTGGGGTTTTGGGG